GTGCAGGCAAGAGTGTGTAGTTTTGGTTTTGAATTGAAGGAGAGAAAGCTAAAAAAACAATGGGAAGGAACAGCGAAGAATCACACATTATTTGACTCGAGAGCGACTTTCGTAGATTCGTATGTGACTTTGTCAACTTATGTCGGCTGTTTCATTCATTCCCTCAAATTACATCATCACCAGACGTACGTATTCATCTTCTATTTTTTCTTGCATATTCTACCTTTCTTTTTCTTAATCATTTTTAACTTGTCTTGAAAAATAAACTGGACAAAGATTCATTGTCTGTGTCATTAGTTTTGATTTTTTCAGTCTTCTCCTTGTCCAAGTCGCGGAAAAAGTGATTGTAAAAACACTCCGACGCTCAAGTCAATGACTTTGCGTAATAATCTTGTAATCAAGATTTAGTTATAAGAGCTCTAAGTTTCAGTTCAAGTTAAGTCTCCTTTACTAGACAAATATTTGTAAATTATAATGAGCTTATCGTTAAATCTGACTCATTAACCACCAATGAATGACAATATTAATTGTCAATAAATGACAATTATTTTCATTAACTCTCCGACAGTTATTATCATTAATTACCTTAACGGCTGATTTAACCGATCGGTTCATGGACCTGAGAGGTATCATCGGTCGGACTGATCCTTCTACACCTTTATCGTTCGATCACTGTGAACTCATACGAACAGTTTGTGTCATCAGTTTTGATTTTTTACTGTGTTTGATGGTAAATTCACGTGACTGTGATTCTTGCATTATTGCAGAAATTTATTTTTTATACCAATTTTTAAATCAGTAGAAAGAGGAAGCACAGAAAATATTTGATTTTTTTTTATTATTTTCAGACTTTCTATATTAATTTTGAAATTGGTGTAAAATATGAATTTTTTATACGGATTCTCACGCTAGTATAAAAAATTTATGTGTGCTTCAGACTTTTTATACTGATTTGTTACTTAATTGGTATAGGAAGTTTGATATTTTATATGGATAAATATTTCAATTGGTATAAATTTCATTTTTATACTGATTTATATTTCAACTTATATAGAAAGTGAATTTTTATATTTACTGAGCATTAATCGGTATAAAAGTCACTTTTTTTTTTCAATAACAGGTTTATGTGTTACCTAACATATATAAATGCATAAAATTCATACAAGTACCAAAACATTCTAACTATATAAAATTATTACTATACTTTATATTATTTACATATTTAGTAATATTTTCTAACTACATAAAATAATGAATGCATCATTTAATATTTTCACAAAAAATATTTAAAAACAATGAATACATGAAACAATGAATACATCATCTTTTATAAACATTTAAAAGGAATAAAATTCACTATGGAACTTCACTTATGACCTTGTATTTTATTAGAAATGTTTTATCGAAAATCCACATAATAAACAGTTTGAGTCAACTTAGATGGATAAATACTTAAGCTATTAATTATAAAATATTCACATTATCAAATTTCATAAGTCAAAAACATATGTATATATGATTTTTGACATGTGTCTTATTTCACAATATTCACATCCAAAATTTCCTGATAGATACAAACAGTACAAATTAAATTCATAACATCTATTTTATATTTCAATAGTTTAAAAGATTAAGTATTTACAATTGACTCGATGAACCATAAATCCTGTATCCTAAAATTTAAAACCTAAAATTATATGTATTTTCTCCAGTCTTAAATAAACATTAATTATTCTATAAAGTTTAAATGTACCGTGTATAGTATAAAATTACATGAACATAACAAAAAATTATAACAAAACTTTCACTTAAAATATATTGGTATAAAAAAAACTTCTTATATTTACTACACTTTCCGCTGAATTTCAACTTATATAAAATGTTAATATTAAAAAAAAAAACTTATTTTGTACTTGTATGCCATACACCATTCTCAAGAAAGGTTATGTATAAACAAGAAAAATAGTATCTAAAATGTGCATGGTAATTAGAAGAAGTGATGGCATGGATGACGTGAGATAAACATATTCAACGCAATACCCCACAGATTATTGTTCACACAGCAGTCATCACTTCGTGTCGGCTTCCCTTTTATTTTTATCCATCATTTTCTCAATTCCTTTCATTTTATTCTTCACGTTTCTCTAACTATATAATAATGATATCATTGAAATATAAAACTTTTAATTTATAAGATATTTAAAACTATTATTCTCAAATAATCCTATTTATAAAAACATATTCAACCTAAACTTGATATAAATAGATAGATAAATAAGGAGTGCCGAAAAGGGAACAGTACAGAGCAGTAGAGTTTTATTTATATTTATTTATACGCACGTGGGCCTACAATGGTCTTCAATGCAGCACGTCACACGTTTCTATATACACGTGCGGTCGACACCTCTTCCAAGTCTTTAAATTCATACCAAAACTATAAAATGATGGAAAATCATTTTTTTCTATAATAAAAACAAAAGAATGATAAATTAAGACATTTTATTTATGATTTAAATTGTCGTGTTTTAATGTTTGTTTTTTGTTATACTTTAAGAAGTCCTCCGACAAACATTTTTTACTCTGCTCACGTAACCACGCAACGGTATTTTTATTTTAGAAAAATGTTGAAGAAATTAGCATGTTTTTCACACCTGAATAAGGAACACATTGTGGATATAGATTCACTTATTCTATTCGACTAATCAATCTTAATTAGAATTCTGCAATTGCTCATGTGAAAAATGGGGTAACGCTGGATTTATATATACTTTTTAAAAAATATTATTATATTTATTTATTTAAAGGACCTGTTAAAAATTAAGTAGCCATAATATTCTATAATTTTTATACTTTTATTTTTCATGCTTTTATTTATAACTGTATTTTTTTTCTGGTGCAATAAATTAAAAATGCTCATTTAAACATTTTCCTATAGTTTTCTTGTACGTGTAGTGTTTATTCTAAAGTTTTAAATCAAGGTTAGATAGTTTTCTTTAGATCCAGAAATGATACAAATGAATGGGCCTCGTTTTAAATTTTTTAGCTACAAAGAAAGCCCATTATTGGAACAAAGGGAGTTACAGGAAAGAAAGCCCGTTATTGGAACAAAAAAGAGAGAATAATTGAAGCCCATTATTGGAGCCCAAAAAGAAAAACCAATTGGATCGAAACGCGCGCAAAGATACACACTAAGCACTCTCTCTCTTGATCATTGTCTCTGCTGTGGATCTTCATCGGCAACTTCCTTCCCTGTCTGACAGGTAAGTCACCGGTTACACCTTCGATTCGTATTTTCCCAATTCGATTTCTCCGATCACGCGAATCGTCGTGCGCGTTCGTCTATCAGATCTTGTGTCCGTTGAAAAGCAAGATGTCGGGGCAAACGCAGCGTCTGAACGTGGTCCCCACCGTCACGATGCTGGGAGTGGTGAAGGCGCGTCTGGTGGGAGCCACGCGAGGCCACGCGCTCCTGAAGAAGAAGAGCGATGCGCTCACGGTGCAGTTCCGCCAGATCCTGAAGAAGATCGTGACCGCAAAGGAGTCCATGGGCGACATCATGAAAACCTCGTCGTTCGCGCTCACTGAGGCCAAGTACGTCGCCGGTGACAATATCAAACACGTGGTCCTGGAGAATGTCCGGGAAGCCTCTCTCCGCGTCCGCTCGCGCCAGGAAAACGTTGCCGGTGTCAAGCTCCCCAAGTTCGAGTACACCTCCGACGCTGACGCCAACAAGAACGACCTCACCGGACTGGCGCGGGGGGGCCAGCAGGTGCAGCAGTGCCGCGCCGCCTACATCAAGGCCATCGAGGTTCTCGTCGAGCTCGCCTCGCTTCAGACCTCGTTCCTCACTCTCGATGAGGCTATCAAGACCACGAACCGTAGGGTTAACGCTCTGGAGAATGTGGTGAAGCCGCGGTTGGAGAATACGATTAGTTACATCAAGGGGGAGTTGGATGAGCTCGAGAGGGAAGATTTCTTCAGGCTGAAGAAGATTCAGGGGTATAAGAAGAGGGAGATTGAGAAGCAGATGTTGTTGAAGAAGGTTGAGTCTAATTTACCTCTGCACAAAGCGGTTTCTTACAATTCCTCTAATCTGTTGGCTGTGGGTGACAAAGATGAGGATATTATCTTCTGAATGTGGTTCCATCCGCTGCTGCTTCTGCTGGGTGAGAGTTCTCTGCTATTGTTTAGGCACAGTTTTCTGTATCATGAATAAAGGTTCTTAGTATATGTTTATTTATTTCTTTCTTCATTAATTCGAGACGTCATCGTTTTAAAGTATGGTTCTTATCATTCGATCTTATGGAAGCTTTTGAACTTGCTGTGAGTAGCTATAATTTCGTTTCGAAATATATTACATCTCCATAGAGTTGTGGGCATTGTGGAAAGGCATATTTTAAGTAATCTTTTGCTTGTATTAGAATTGTTATTATTATTCTTTTAGCTTGCGGGTTGCATTTTACTTATATCTGTACACCATCGATGATTACAGAAGTTTTTATTTTTTGATTGGATGAAGAATGGGGTTTGAGGATGTGGTCTTTGGAATATGAAATCCTTAGGTTTTGGTCTCGGGGTGTGAAATAATTTATTTCTGGTTAGAAACTATCACTTACAATACTTGATCGACATATAAGACAATTTCTCAAAATAAAATTCTAAAAGTGGTACTAGGATCTTAAGTCTGTACAGTTAAACATAAAGAGAAATTCAAAATCCGTAGAGATGCACTGTGAAATATCTCAGAGAAGAAAGGCTTGCTAAATGCTTACCATCGTGATGAGGCAGATGGGTGGTGCAGAGCTTGATTTTCTGTTGTTTAATCAGCTCAACATGATATCCTTAGCGGAACTTTATTTCCACTTGAAGGATCAAAGATGTACCAGCCTTCCATGTTGTATTTACATAGAGAGATCCTATGCTCTAAAGAATGATCTCCATTTTATGGAATATACTTAAACACTGACACTAAATTAGCTTACCAACCAAATTCCATTCAATTATATGTGCAACAATCTTCCTGAGATGGCAGCAACAAGTGCTGCTCTGAAATTAGGATCCGTGGTCAAAGAAGTTGCCATCTGTTCCACCAAAACCTGCTGCACTTTAGGTGTATCTACTTTAGTTTTCGTGCTCTTGGAATCGTTGCTGCTCTTAGATTTTGTCAAGTCAAGGGTAATTAGTGTTGGAGTGGCAGCTGCACAAGGCACTGAAGCAAGGGTCACACTTCGCCCAGAACCTGATGTTGCCTCCATTTGTGAAGAAGCTTGGGGATGGTTGTGCTCCCCTTCATAAGTAGCCACTAGAACAGATTGATCATCCAATCTTCTTTGCACCTTCTTTTTTAGAGGGCAGCTTGGAGCAAAAGAGCATTTGAAATTGCTCTTGGACAAGGGTTATCTCTGGTCACTTTTAGCCCATATTTCCTCCACTGGTACCCATCTTTCACAATCTGAAACCACATCCAATGAAAAACCTCTCAAACAGTTACTCCTAATATTTTATGCTATTTACTATGCCTAATAGGAAATGTATGTAAAGAGTCTTATAAGGGTGGTTTCAGATGCTTTGGTCCTGACATAAACTGTTGAAATTTTTGGTTTCATGGAAATTTCAGAACATGATTTCCTTTTTGAACCAGTTCTTTTTATAACTTCACCATCCAGAATGGCCCTTCAGTTTGACTGTGTATCATCCAAAATTTGGACCTCTCTCTTACTAGTAACATCAGGTTCATGACCCTTTGTTTCCTAATTAAGAATGAGATAAAGTTTAATACTGCACTAATATTGACTTGTGCTTTAACGAAGCAATCCCTGGAATTGTATTTCCAAGGAAAATTTTAAATTAAAAATAACTAATTGAGAAGAGTAGAAAATAATTGACATCATGCGGTTGTTCCTTTGCAACATTAGGAACATTAAGCTTGTTCTCAGCTTCCTGAACCTAAAGCATTGCAAACACAACCAATCCTAACATGAATCTAACCCAGACAAAATCAAGCAACAGCTTGTTGCAAATAACAATAAATATGAAGATATAAATAAAATAGAAATAGATGCCATCAAGAATGAATGCTATTAGACACAAAAAACAGCTTGAGTGAGAAACAATGTTTTGATGGTAAATTACGGGCTTATTAGCAATGGAGTGGTTATTTTTCTCTGCTGGAATTTGATCAAAGCTTCTTCCTTGTATAAATGGACACAGATGACATGGTTGACAGCTGTTCATTTCCTACTTGAGTTTTAGTACGCCTATTCCTTTTGAGCATGTTTTTGAATGATTAAAATCATTTAATCTTTGACTTGGCTAATATTGGTTATTTAAACCTCCAACCCTCCTTCCTGGAAAAAATCTGACTTTGTTTCACAATTTTCCTTTTCCTAATTTCTTATTCCTAATGTTAAATGCTCTTTTTCAGTAATTCTTTCTTTTACAAAGCATTGAGCATCATATGCTTTCTCAAAGAATTAGTTTTTAGGTGATTCTTTTAGAAAACATACTAATGAGACAACAGTCACAGCAAGGTTCTAGAGAACTTGCATACATCAGCTAAATTTGTTCCATGGCTTCCAATATGAAGCCAAATTAACACTAAGGAAGAATATCATGGATTAGCTATAACAGTTTATCTGATAGAGTATTGCAAGTAAAACGAACCACTGTCTTCTTACTATCCACTGCCTTCATGAGATAAGGCTTGAGCTTAGCAGTACAGTTTCTGATTACTTTCTCACCCAATCTGGTTTAAGTCAATCTGATTAATTGTAAGTCGAATTCTCAGATATCATACAATAACATAATAATCTTAGTCCTTGTCCTTTTGTCATCATTTATTATATCTTATAATGATTTTTCTCAATTTTATAAGATAATGTATGAATTGGTATATAAATATCACTTATCATATTAAAAAATTGTGAAGTAATGATAAGGTGCGGATGTCAAACCAAATCAATGTTTGGTGGTTTTGTATATGATATGATTATCTATTATGGTAGCCATTGAAAATTGAAAACGATGTTATATGGTACGTAAACATAACAAAAGAAAATCTATTTTCAAATTTTACTCTAATAATAAAGTTACACATTATAGTTTTGTATTCATATTTTAGTTTTTATAACTTTTAATTATCATAATTAAACATGTTTTATTTTTAAAATTATAATTCTTAAAATTTAAATATTAAATTTAAGGGTCCCTATAATAAAATAATAATATTAAGTATTATTGCATTGAAGTGACACTCATGGGCTCTAGCTTTATGCGGTCTCATTAGCTGTAATCGACTCAAACACACGTCAGCAAGATGGGTCCCACTTTTCTCTAACTTTCCCACTTTCATTCCATCATTTAATTAATTGATTGATTAACTGCGAGATTAACGTAACAACAAAATAACACCAAATTGATCCATACAACCCTCTTGACAATGTTTAATACATCCAATTAATAGAGAACAAATTGATCTATAAACTAAAATTTTTATCACTCCATTGGGACATTATTGAAAGAACAAATTAATGATACTTTTTCTTGAAAAATTAATAATATTTTCTCTTGAAAAAATTAATAATATTTTATCTTGAAAAAATTAATAATATTTCCCTTCACTACATCATTATTCTAAGCTCATCCACACATCCAACACTTTATTTGTATGAACCAAAAAGAAGGAATAAAATAAAGGAAATGGAATAAATTGAAATACCAACCTATGGTTTAGGTGAACAAGAATTTTTAAAAATCTTAAATAAAGACAAGAGTGCGTGTTATTTAGGTTGATGGAAATTGAAAAGCTATATTAAAATAAAATAATGGATTATTTTACCCAAATACTATAAATGGGCTAAAAAAATTACTAGATAACATATTATACTATATATATTTATTCGTTTTTTTTTAAGGTTAAAATTCAGTTTTTAAAAACCAAATTTTAAACTGTGATTGGAACGAAACAGATTAAAACAAGGGAGAATTCAGATTCTCAAAATCTAAATTTGGAACTATGATTTAGAAGAAACCAGTTGAAAAATAAGTTAAAGTTTGGTTATTCGACAAAAAATAATAGATTGTTTTAAAACAATTACAAAAAATAACACAATTTAAAATTCGATTGAACTGAAATAAAAAAAGTATAAATATTTCACAGAATATGCTATTTAGATAAATTTTAAAGTTTTGGGTGAAACAAACATTGTTTATAATATTGAAACAAAGACGGTATGTGTTTAAATGGTATTAATTTATTTCCGACTTCAGTTGAAAAATGTAAAAATCAGAATAATTACGTTAAATAAAAGCATAAATGAACTACTATTTGATAAGAATATACTTTATCTTTATCAGAGAAAAAACATCTTAAATAAATAATTTATAATTACTTAATATATGATATATGTTTGAGATAAGACTAAAAAAATATAAATAAAAGAGTAGAAGAAAAGGTAACGGAATTGGGTTAGATCCCCACGTCAGCTCCACCTCCAACGTTACTGTTAGATTTCTCCATATTTAGGTTTTCAGGATATTTCCTCTTCTCTGCCATTCTCACATCTTCTCTTCTTCACTTCTCTCGTTCCTCTTTTCAACAACTTCTCAATCTCAGCCTTATCCACCAAAATTTCCTTCTTTTGCTTCACGTTTCATCTGTCACTCTATTGGGTATTCTTCTTCTTCATCATACATGCACCATGAAGATTTTCAACCCGTCTGAATGCTTTCTTCGGAACTTGGTATGTCCCTCGGACACCATATTCCTCAAAAGCATCAATCTTTCTCATCTGGGTTCTTCCCATCTCTGCCAATTCACAATGTTCATCCTCTCCTGGCCCAATTAGTTGCATTCTGATCAATACATTTCCAAATTCTTCCCACCATTTCTCCCATGGATCCGCAGAACGAATCCGACCAAGCAAACCCCAGAAACATAATTTTCAGTAAATACGAGATGGGGCGGGTGCTGGGGCAGGGAAACTTCGCGAAGGTCTACTACGGCAGAAACCTCGTCACCAACGACAACGTCGCCGTCAAGGTCATAAAGAAAGAGAAGCTGAAGAAAGAGCGACTGGTGAAGCAGATCAAGCGCGAGGTTTCTGTCATGAAACTGGTGCGGCATCCCCACATCGTTCAACTCAAGGAAGTCATGGCCACCAAAGGAAAAATCTTCCTCGTCATGGAATACGTTAAGGGCGGCGAGCTTTTCACCAAAGTCAACAAAGGAAAACTCTCCGAAGACCTCGCCAGAAAGTACTTCCAGCAACTCGTCAGCGCCGTCGACTACTGCCACAGCCGCGGCGTCACCCACCGCGACCTCAAGCCGGAGAATCTCCTCTTGGACCAGAACGAGGACCTCAAAGTCTCCGACTTTGGACTCTCGGCGCTGCCGGAGCAGCGCCGCGCCGACGGCATGCTATTAACGCCGTGTGGGACCCCTGCTTACGTGGCGCCGGAGGTTCTGAAGAAAAAGGGCTACGACGGTTCAAAGGCTGATATATGGTCCTGTGGGGTAATTCTTTACGCCTTGCTCTGCGGCTATTTACCCTTCCAAGGTGAGAACGTTATGAGAATCTACCGAAAAGCGTTCAGAGCTCAGTATGAATTACCCGAATGGGTTTCGTCGCAGGCCAAGAATCTCATTTCGAATCTCCTCGTTGCTGATCCTGCCAAGAGGTATTCCATTCCCGATATAATGAAGGATCCCTGGTTTCAATTCGGGTTCATGAGACCCATTGCCTTTTCGATTAAGGAATCCGAGGTAGAAGACAACATTGATTTCGAAGACGTGTACAACAACGAGGACGAGGTCTCGATGAGGAAGCCCGCGAGGCCGTTTTACAATGCGTTTGAGATAATCTCGTCCTTGTCGCACGGGTTTGATCTCAGGAGTTTGTTTGAGACGAGGAAGCGGTCGCCGTCTATGTTCATCTGTAAATTTTCGGCTTCGGCGGTGATGGCGAAGGTGGAGGCTGCTGCAAAGAAGCTGAATTTTAAAGTGACGGGGAAGAAGGAGTTCGTGGTGAGGATGCAGGGGGCGGAAGAGGGGAGGAAGGGGAAGTTGGGGATGACGGTGGAGGTTTTCGAGGTGGCGCCGGAGGTGGCGGTGGTTGAGTTTTCAAAGTCTGCCGGCGACACTTTGGAGTATATTAAACTGTGTGAGGAACAAATAAGACCGTCTCTGAAAGACGTTGTTTGGAGCTGGCAGGGTGATAGCAATAATTAGTTTTTACCTATTTTAACTGTTTTTATGTTTTATTTCATACCATACCATGTACATATATTTGGAGTCTGTGATCGTGATTGAACTACAAATAGTAGCTAAATTGCAACATTAATCTCGCAAATTATGGAAAACAAAGGCATGGTTTTTCACTTTGAAAAGTGATTCCGTGGTTGGATGGAACAATTTTAATTTTACAACTCATTAAAAAGTGATGATATTTTTATTATATGTGAAACAATATAAGATTGTGTGATTGATGTTATACTAAAGAAAAATGATACTTGAACAACTATTTTTGACAACATTTAGACACGCGCACACGTGTCAAAATCTGAGTGGTCCAGTTGGAAAAATTAAATGAAAATGGACCACTCAGATTTTGACACGTGTGCACGTGTCTAAATGTTGTCAAAAATAGTTGTTCAAGTCTCATTTTCCTATACTAAAACTATGACATCTAATTTTCATAATGTAAGTTGATAACTGAGCTATTAAATGTCAGAAGTTCAGTCCAAAATAATGACCCAAGTCACCAGTAAAAAGACCAGTAAAAAGGCCAGTTAACTGAAGAGTATTATCGATTTGAAATTAGAATAATTTACTATTAATATCTTAAAAACTATATTAAATTTAATTTAATAATTTTTGAATATTTTCTAAAACTTTATAAAATGATTTCAAATACTAAAAATCTGCATGCTTTTGAAAACTTTAAACATAAAAATTAAAGGGGGTGTTTGGACCGCTTTATCCAAATGATAAAACGCGCGGCGCCGCTGCTTGCTACCAAACAAACACAAATAAACGTCATTGCTTAGGCGCCGAAGTTGAACCCTAAAATATAATTAGTTATATCCACCAATCAATCCACAAGGTAAATTTAGAACTTCAATACTATTGCTGAATTGATAACGATACTTTTGATAATATTTTTTAATATTGCTGAATTGATAATATCATGTTATTAGTTAATATTAATATTATTATGTAATATTAATATTTATTGATATTACATAATAATACGTAAATATTATAAAAAAAATATTGTCATAACTTATCAATGTGAGACCGGACTTACACCATTGGTCATTTTGCTAGCACTAGAAAAGACCTGAAAAAGGACATTGAATTGAACATGTTTGGTTTTATTGTTGCGGAATGACAGTGGAGGGTACATTAGAAGTTGTCCCTTTTGAGAAAAGTGTGGAGAAGGAAATGTGTGTTTGTAGGAACCATTATTTGGGGGTCCTCCACATACTACAACGTACCATCAGCTGACTCAGATCATACTCACTTTTCTCTCAAGATGAGGCCCTAAATAATACTGCATTTTCCCTTCTCCTCCATCGACTATTTGTGCAACTCAACACCATATATCATTCTCAACTCAACTTGCCAACTTGCCAAATTGCCTATGTACAGACACAATACCATATCATCATTCTCATTTTCCACAACACACCCACCTAACGTATCCCTGCCTCAACTATATTATCATCAACAAAATTATCTATCTATCTATCTCTATCTCTCTCTCTCTCTCTCTATATATATATATATATATATATATATATATATATATATATATTAGTATAACAGTTTATCAGTTTAAGAATTACGGTTATTTCCGTCATAGTTTCAAAGGAATCCGAGTGATTGGTGTTGGAAGTTTCACATCGACTAGAGATAAGACTAAATTATAATATATAAATGGGTGCAAACCTCACCATCCAAATCGATTTTGTGTGACTGAGTTAGACTTAATAAAATCATTATCAATTAAATCATAATTAAGTTAATATTAATATGAAACACATCTTAAAATCTATTTATAAATTTGTTGTATCTTGTAATAAGTTGGTTATGTTTATTATTAATATTATTTGACACTTAACTTTAGTGTTGCAAGTATATCTCAAATTGATCGAATGGTAAAAAATGTAAAACAAAAGAGAAATACTTGAAGTTGGAAGATATCAAAGAAAAGATCTCATCTCGATCAACTTATATATATATATATATATATAATATACTTAGTATATGATATGTTAAATGTATCAGCTGTAGGAAATTTTGGATTGTTTGGAGAAAAGTTGGGTTGTATAATGAATTAGATTATTGGGATGGAAATAGTATGTGTTGTATAAAAAAAGCAACGAATTATAAGACAGAAGTCTTATCCCGAGATTTGTGTGAAAAGTAAGCAGGCATATATATTATAGTACTGCAATGATTGAAGGTATTAGCGAAGAGAAATAGAAAGAAATATAGTATCAGTATGACAGTCCCACACGCCAATAACTTATATATATTATATTAACTTAATAAGTTTTCGGTTTAACCATTCACGAAGTCCTTATTTTTGGGTGAAATCTCAATTTAGTTTCTTAGTTTCTGGAATTCTCAATTAGGTCTCAAATTTATGAAAATTACAACAATTGGATCCTTTCTGTTAATTTGTCTCCAACGGCGTTAGTGTGTGTCTGTAGTCAGTTTCTTAACTAACGTGATTGACTGAAGCAGGGGTAGTGAAACACGTGGATAATAACAATTTTTTAAGTCCTCCCCACATAGTGCGACCTTATCAACCCCTGCTGAAAGGAAACCCCAGCTTTTGCAGCGTAGCCAAGCGCAGCCACCACCCCAGAATCGAGAACTGCAATCACAACGTCGCACTCAACGGGGCTCTCAGTGGCCAGTATTTCCCCGAATTTCCTCCTAGACTCGTACACAGACCTCCCGAAGACAACAGAGTTGGGAAGTGGGAAGTGCGAAGTATATGTGCTCGAAGATGCATTGCTTTGGCTCCTGATGAGTCACGAGGCAGAGGGATTGGATTCCCGTGTGGTCCACCACCACAACCTCACCCGGGTTCACCTCTCTCTCATACATCGCATCGATCAAATCCAGCACGCATGTCTCCGAGGCGAAAACCACAGCGCCGTTCTTTCTCCTTCCCATCACCAAAGGTCGGAACCCGAAGGGGTCCCTCACAGCCACCAACTTGTCCTCCATGAGGAACACCAGGGAGTACGCCCCCTTCAGATTCTCGTAGGCATCCAATACTCTGAGTAGGAAAGGTCTGTGCTTGGAGGTGGCAATCAGGTGGAGCATGACCTCGGTGTCGGAGGTCGTGTTGAAGATGGACCTGTTGTCTTCCAGTTTGGCACGTAGGGAGCAGTAGTTCACGAAGTTTCCATTGTGTGTGACGACGACGGAGCCGAAACAGTAGCCGGCGACGAAGGGTTGGACGTTCACGANCGAGGCAGAGGGATTGGATTCCCGTGTGGTCCACCACCACAACCTCACCCGGGTTCACCTCTCTCTCATACATCGCATCGATCAAATCCAGCACGCATGTCTCCGAGGCGAAAACCACAGCGCCGTTCTTTCTCCTTCCCATCACCAAAGGTCGGAACCCGAAGGGGTCCCTCACAGCCACCAACTTGTCCTCCATGAGGAACACCAGGGAGTACGCCCCCTTCAGATTCTCGTAGGCATCCAATACTCTGAGTAGGAAAGGTCTGTGCTTGGAGGTGGCAATCAGGTGGAGCATGACCTCGGTGTCGGAGGTCGTGTTGAAGATGGACCTGTTGTCTTCCAGTTTGGCACGTAGGGAGCAGTAGTTCACGAAGTTTCCATTGTGTGTGACGACGACGGAGCCGAAACAGTAGCCGGCGACGAAGGGTTGGACGTTCACGAGCTTGGGCTGGCCAGCGGTGGAGTAGCGGACGTGGCCAATGGCGCAGGAGCCGGGCAGCTCAGATAACTTCGATTAAACCCTAAATACCCAAATTGATACCCCAATTTGTGAAATGGAATGAACTTTGGACGAACCGAACCCTAGAAGTACTCAGAACAATCTCAATCCCTAATTCGATCAATTCAAAATCTGAATCCCCATTTTGGTTTAAAACATTTATTTTCTTTTTTAAAAAATTGTTATTATCCACGTGCTTCATTATCCCTACTTTAGTCAGCCACGTCAGTTAAGAAATTGATTACAACGTGCCACGTCAGACACACACTAACACCGTTAGAGATAATTTAACAAAAATGATCTAATTATTGTAATTTTTATAAATTTGGAACTCAATTGAGAATTCCAAAAACTAAGAGATTAAATTGAAATTTTACGAGAGTTGGTGAATGATTAAACCTAAGTTTTCATGGAAAAGTGATTTTTTTCCGTGGGAGTTTTGAAAGGATTATGATATCATACAGTGTGATCCTGATCCCTGTGTCGTGTCTCCCATGTCAGCAAATTTCACTTATGTCGAAATCAATAAATGTTTGGTCGTTTCATACGTCTGATAAAACAAATGAAGCACATAGTTTTGTTAGCAATAATATTTTGATATAAATAATTTTTTTTATTTGATATTATCTTCTTCTGATTTTTATTCTTTTTTTAAATAGAAAAAATTATTTTTATAATATATGTTAAATAAATATAAACATATGTCCTTTTATCATTATTCAAATTAACTAAAAAAGATTTATTTTCTGACTATACAGTATTTCATTCATTCTGGACCCTTTCGTTTGAAGAAAAACAATCATTTAAAACATGAAAACACACGCCAAGAAGATTGTTTGATGATTGGTTATGACGAAGTCTTTCTGATAATTATTATATATTATATATTACTTTTCTTTGGATGCTTTCAAAATTAAGATAACAAAACTAAAACACACGAAATATTATAATAAACTTATAATATTTTTTTTTCATTTACATCTATGTTAAATACAAGTTTAAATGTAGTAATTCTATCATTTAAAATAAACTAATTATAATTTGGAAAGGAAGGAAGTGTATATATAATATATTGTGAATGTAATCATTTGTCCAACATTCTTTTTTGAACTTATTTCAATTTGTATCTATGACAAGTAATAAACAATGAAGAAGAGAATACCTGTGAATTGTTATATAATGAACAAATAACCTTGATTCTAATTGAAACATGTCGCAATGATTTCTCCACATCATTATTAGAGTTTCTAAAAAATATAAATAATTATACTTTAAAAAGACAACATTTTTAAAATAATGATATGAAAGTATTTAAATCATACATTATACGACAAAGATTTGTTAGA